ATGTAGTGTCTCTACTTTAAAAGTCCTCTCCTGCTGATGTTCAGGTGTATATCAGTATGTAGTGTCTCTACTTTAAAAAGTCCTCTCCTGCTGATGTTCAGGTGTATATCAGTATGTAGTGTCTCTACTTTAAAGAGTCCTCTCCTGCTGATGTTCAGGTGTATATCAGTATTTAGTGTCTCTACTTTAAAGAGTCCTCTCCTGCTGATGCTCAGGTGTATATCAGTATTTAGTGTCTCTACTTTAAAGAGTCCTCTCCTGCTGATGTTCAGGTGTATATCAGTATGTAGTGTCTCTACTTTAAAGAGTCCTCTCCTGCTGATGATCAGGTGTATATCAGTATGTAGTGTCTCTACTTTAAAGAGTCCTCTCCTGCTGGTGTTCAGGTGTATATCAGTATGTAGTGTCTCTACTTTAAAGAGTCCTCTCCTGCTGGTGTTCAGGTGTATATCAGTATGTAGTGTCTCTACTTTAAAGAGTCCTCTCCTGCTGATGTTCAGGTGTATATCAGTATCATGTAGTGTCTCTACTTTAAAGAGTCCTCTCCTGCTGGTGTTCAGGTGTATATCAGTATGTAGTGTCTCTACTTTAAAGAGTCCTCTCCTGCTGATGTTCAGGTGTATATCAGTATGTAGTGTCTCTACTTTAAAGAGTCCTCCCTGCTGATGTTCAGGTGTATATCAGTATGTAGTGTCTCTACTTTAAAGAGTCCTCTCCTGCTGATGTTCAGGTGTATATCAGTATGTAGTGTCTCTACTTTAAAGAGTCCTCTCCTGCTGATGTTCAGGTGTATATCAGTATGTAGTGTCTCTACTTTAAAGAGTCCTCTCCTGCTGATGTTCAGGTGTATATCAGTATGTAGTGTCTCTACTTTAAAAAGTCCTCTCCTGCTGATGTTCAGTATATCAGTATGTAGTGTCTCTACTTTAAAGAGTCCTCTCCTGCTGATGTTCAGGTGTATATCAGTATGTAGTGTCTCTACTTTAAAGAGTCCTCTCCTGCTGATGTTCAGGTGTATATCAGTATGTAGTGTCTCTACTTTAAAGAGTCCTCTCCTGCTGATGTTCAGGTGTTTATCAGTATGTAGTGTCTCTACTTTAAAGAGTCCTCTCCTGCTGATGTTCAGGTGTATATCAGTATGTAGTGTCTCTACTTAAAGAGTCCTCTCCTGCTGATGTTCAGGTGTATATCAGTATGTAGTGTCTCTACTTTAAAGAGTCCTCTCCTGCTGATGTTCAGGTGTTTATCAGTATGTAGTGTCTCTACTTTAAAGAGTCCTCTCCTGCTGATGTTCAGGTGTATATCAGTATGTAGTGTCTCTACTTTAAAGAGTCCTCTCCTACTGATGTTCAGGTGTATATCAGTATGTAGTGTCCACTACTTTAAAGAGTCCTCTCCTGCTGATGTTCAGGTGTATATCAGTATGTAGTGTCTCTACTTTAAAGAGTCCTCTCCTGCTGATGTTCAGGTGTATATCAGTATGTAGTGTCTCTACTTTAAAGAGTCCTCTCCTGCTGATGTTCAGGTGTATATCAGTATGTAGTGTCTCTACTTTAAAGAGTCCTCTCCTGCTGATGTTCAGGTGTATATCAGTATGTAGTGTCTCTACTTTAAAGAGTCCTCTCCTGCTGATGTTCAGGTGTATATCAGTATATAGTGTCTCTACTTTAAAGAGTCCTCTCCTGCTGATGATCAGGTGTATATCAGTGTGTAGTGTCTCTACTTTAAAGAGTTCTCTGCTGCTGATGTTCAGGTGTATATCAGTATGGAGTGTCTCTACTTTAAAGAGTCCTCTGCTGACTCACAGATGTTGTTTCCCTCACACATTTCCGTCATAAGAAATGTGTGTGTGTGTGTGTGTGTGTGTGTGTGTGTGTGTGTGTGTGTGTGTGTGTGTGTGTGTGTGTGTGTGTGTGTGTGTGTGTGTTTGAGGATACATGTGCTTTTGAAAAGTGTATCTCAAAATATTTGTCGTTCATTTTAATTGACTGAATACTTGATAGAGGGGGTTGAGGAATGATCTGTTTGTATTTTGAAAAAAACACTTCATAAACATGTTTTTTATATTTTTTTATATATCTGAGACCATAAAATAAATATAATAAATGCAGGGCTCGACAGTAACCATTGGCAACCATTCAGAAAAAATGTCAACCACTTCTTGGCCTTTTGGTTTCCATCAGTGGCATTATTTGTTGTATTAAGAGTGATATTTAATTATTGTTGTGACCAGTCGGAACCTGATGCACGTGCATTGGTGTGATTACGGAGCCAGAAAGCGACGTTTACTCACGTGCACGGTGAAAAAATGGCTAAGCAAATTAAGTTGTTTGACTGTGGGGTAAAAACATCTCAGACAAATGTTCAAAGTGATTCAACTGATAAAGCGCAAGGCAGGGCCGTTTCTACGGGGTGCCTAAGGGTGCACCCTCAGTTGAAAAATGAAAAGTGAAAAAAATTACATATATAATAATAATAGTAATAAGAAGAAGAATTTAGTTGAAATAAAATAAATTGTAATTGTGGTTAAATAACATTGTCTGCTGCATTTATTTGGTCAATTTAAACGGTAAGTAACGTTATTATGTCAGGTGCGCGTGACCTGTGCCGCTGCGCGTTCGTCATCTGCAAGGTGCTTACACAGCAGTCAGTGATGGAACTCAGAAAATGGTTAAAACAACCAGCCCTTATCGCCAGCAGTAACACTGCATCTACTGCAGGTAATAACAGTTCAGATCATGGGGATATTACGTTACCCGCGGCGTGGACACTAACGCGCGACTCGCCGCCATTGCCCGCCTCGCCCACGGAGGCGGAGCAGCCGCAGCCGTCTTCCTTGCCCTAAACACCGCCACCCCTCAGCGCCCCGCAAGTGCCAGAGGACCTCGGCAAAACAGAGCCTGCCCAGGTATATTTAAAAAAGTACCCAACTCGCCTGTACAGTGGGGTGAGGTGCTCATTTTGCAGCTCATGGTTTCAAAACAGAGATTGGCTGGAATATTCATGTAAAAAAGATGGTAGGTAATTCACTTCAGAAACACTTAAAGGTGGGGTAGGTCATTCACTTCAGAAACACTTAAAGGTGGGGTAGGTCATTCCCTTAAGAAACACTTAAAGGTAGGGTAGGTCATTCACTTCAGAAACACTTAAAGGTAGGGTAGGTAATTCACTTCAGAAACACTTAAAGGTGGGGTAGGTAATTCACTTCAGAAACACTTAAAGGTGGGGTAGGTAATTAACTTCAGAAACACTTAAAGGTGGGGTAGGTCATTAACTTCAGAAACACTTAAAGGTGGGGTAGGTAATTCCTTTCAAAAACACTTAAAGGTGGGTAGGTCATTCACTTCAGAAACACTTAAAGGTGGGGTAGGTAATTCACTTCAGAAACACTTAAAGGTGGGGTAGGTCATTCACTTCAGAAACACTTAAAGGTGGGGTAGGTCATTCACTTCAGAAACACTTAAAGGTGGGGTAGGTCATTCACTTCAGAAACACTTAAAGGTGGGGTAGGTCATTCACTTCAGAAACACTTAAAGGTGGGGTAGGTCATTCACTTCAGAAACACTTAAAGGTGGGGTAGGTCATTCACTTCAGAAACACTTAAAGGAGGGGGAAGGTCATTCACTTCAGAAACTTTAGTTTTGGCACATAGTGGACGACGGGCCTTTTTTCTGAAGCTGTCTCCTGCTCTTCCTCAGTCAATGCCTCCTTCTCTGAGTTGTCAACCTCTTCCTCTTCCTCAATCACTGCCTGTGGATCCTCATCATCTCACAGGTCTATGTCTGAGTCTCCCTCAATGATTCTGCTCAGAATTCTCTCTGGCTCGGTCAGTGAGCTGCCTCCATTTGTGTAAAATGGGGGAAATAAAAAGTTAGCAAATCCCCATGGCCTCCTCAAATAATGATTACACTGCTCTGAAACTCACAACACTGGTAATTACAAAATTACAAACTTACCATTTATCTTTTTATAAATAGTAGCCACACCCCCACATATGTGATATGTCTGAAAAGCCCAGGATGTCCTCTGGTAATGCTGTGGGATGTATAACCTCAAAGTAATGGACCAAAACCCAATGTGCTCCACAGAGGACAGACATGCATGGGTGGGTCTCTGGAGGATGGCAATAAAACCTTTGAATCTTTGAACTTCTTTTTTCAATGGGTCTTTCATTCAATTCTTTCACACACACATACGGGTATTGGGCCGAGGGCGACACCGTACTTCCGGTATCCGCCGTTTTACGCGAGGTGCAAGCAGGCAGCTGTACACCGTCTAGGTGTTGCTAAGCTTCCTGTACTGAATATCATAGTCTATTGCCTTAATCAATATCTAGTCAACTCTAAAATACCACACATATGCAATGGCATGATAATATTATTGTGACAAGTGGGGTATTCACCTGGTGTTTCCAGAAGATAGATGTAGATGCATGCAAATCGACGAAGGCCACTTTCGAGGGTCGTAATTCCATACATTGTAAGGGCAATCGGACAACCCACACAGCTCTAGTTCACGCTGGTAACGACCTAGAGCACACCCCTCAAGTCCAGAGATGTAATCCGAAGACATGCAGCGATTTCTTCGGTCGTTAATTCAGAAAAAAAACCTAGTGCGCTCTGCCTGGCTACGTTAGCTAGCTGTTTATATTTGCACTTCCAGGATATTTGTACCTCCAGGAAAATGGCGTATTTATATATATATATGGCACGTGTTGCATTGTGGGTAGCTCGTGACGTCACTGTGTGTGAAAGAATGGGAATTATCCGTGGTTTTGTACGTTTATAAAAATGTCAATACAAATTTAAGTGAACACAAAAAAAGACATGTTTTTAATATATCTGAGACCTTAAAAATATATGCCTAAAAATAGTATAATAGGACACCTTTACATTTCCTGTATATAAAATGTTTAAGTGTTATAAAATAATTCCTCCCAACAGCGAGATGGCGCTGCAGTGACGTCACACGGCTCCTCTGCCCCAACAAGAAGACGGCGGCGTGACGTCACTTCCAGTTATTAATTTCCACCATGGAGTCCTGCGGAGTGAAGCTGAATTTCTGGGAGAATGGACCCCAACCGGGACAGCTTTACTCTCTGTCCGGGAGCACCGGGAGCACCGGGACCTCCTGCGGGCCCGTGCGACACACACTGTGAGTCAAACCGGGGCTTTTAAACGGTCAACTGAACCCGGGAATCAGTTCTCGCTTTCGGTTCCGCTGAGTGCTGCATCATGGAGCTAACTCATGCTAAGCTAACTGACGCTAACTGCTAGTTTACTGCCTTTTCGTATCATAATATAAACTCTGTGGTCTGTTTAATTAACTTGGATGATGAATGAGAATCTATGTGGTTCTTTTTTTAAGAGTTAAATATCAGTTTGTTTACTTTTCTGGTCCGTTTTGCTGACTAACTGTTAGCATCCGGGAGCTAATGCGCCACAGGAAACAGATTGACTTTCCAACAACAAAGCAGGTTATTAAAGTCAACCTGTGTCTAATGAGTAAAGGCGGTATATTTACACAAATGCATACATTCCACAACAAAGTATAATAAATACAGAGTTATTATTCAATTGAAAGGGAAGTACATTCAGCTATTTTGATGTTTAGTCTTACACCTCTTTATTTACCAGGGACAGAACACATTAATACACTTATATGTAAATGTCCAAGAGGCTGTTTAATCTGTAGTCCCTGGACCGATGTTGTAAATCATCCTAAACACATTTAATTTAAAATAACCTGTGCATACAACCAGTAAAAGTGTGCAACCAGCTTACAATGCTAATATAAAACATACATATTACAGGCAAGAAGATAGCATCAGGTTAAGGCAGTACACACACACACTTAGAGACAGACACACACACACACACACAGAGACACGTAGAGACAAACAGACACACACGTAGAGACAAACAAACACACACAGAGACAAACAGACACATAGAGACACACACGTAGAGACAAACAGACACACACACACACAGAGACAAACAGACACATAGAGACACACATGTAGAGACAAACAGACACACACACACACAGAGACAAACAGACACATAGAGACACACATGTAGAGACAAACAGACACACACACACACAGAGACAAACAGACACATAGAGACACACACGTAGAGACAAACAAACACACACAGAGACAAACAGACACACACAGAGGGTTGGTCCATTGTTGACAGAGCTGCTTCCTGACATGTTTTTAAATGAGGCGAGTGTGTGTTAGAGAAACTGCCTCTGGAGGGAACACAGGGATGTTAGCCTCTGCAGACCATTGACATGCACTGACACCTATAGAACACTACCGGAGCTCCACAGAAAGCAGAGTAGGGACCTCCAGGAGGAAGCGCAGACTAAAGCAGCACGTTGTTCTCAGACTCCACTAATGTGTTGCTCTGTAACCCATTGACTTAACCTCCTCTCTCCCCTCCGGCAGGAACCCGATGGTCACCGGTACCTCGGTGCTCGGGGTGAAGTTCACCGGCGGCGTCATCATCGCGGCGGACATGTTGGGATCGTACGGGTCTCTCGCTCGCTTCAGGAACGTCTCGCGTATCATGAAGGTAACGAGAAAACGCTATTAATCCCAATTACCCCGCTCCACAAATCTCTGCTTCTTGCACGTTGTTGCACGTTGTTGCACAGCCTCCACTTCACAATGCAATACACTGGAGTTTGCCATATTATCATTATCATATATTACATTTGTATAGCGCCTTTCACGGGACCCACGGCGGCTTCACATGGTGACAAACAAGAAGGGCAAATAATAAAGTTAAATAAATGGCAGTAGGAGTGAAAGACTGTGATGGCGTTAGGGGTCAAAGGTCATGGTGAACAGGTGAGTTTTTAATGAAGACGTGACGATGTCCATACTCATTGTCCTAAGGGTAGCGATGCTAATGTAAACACCGACCAGATTACGTCCAAAACAGTCGGGCGTTGTTTCTGACAGCAGCTTTCTGATTGGCCCGTGGGTCCGCCTTTCAGATGTTACGCAAATCTGGATCAGCTCCGTTGTTCCCCGTTTTTAGAGATTTGGGGACGGAGGAGAAGAGAGAGGGTTTATTGAATTGATTAATCCCAATCTGGGACATGTTTCGTTGCAGAAACAGAACAAGGCATTCAAGAGTAGAAATAAACGATTGTAAATCGAACCGTCTGAATCAGAAGCCGCCTCCCCTCCAGGTCGACGGTGTTTCTCTTTGTTTCCTTTGCTGCAAGTGAACGGTTTGTGTTTTCCAGGTGAACGATAACACCATCCTCGGAGCGTCTGGAGATTACGCCGACTACCAGCACCTGAAGCACATCATCGAGCAGATGGTGTGAGTACCGCCCAGAAGAGCCTCCTCCTGTGTGTGTGTGTGTGTGTGTGTGTGTGTGTGTGTGTGTGTAGAAGAGCCTCCTCCCGTCTGTGTGTGTGTGTCCGCCCAGAAGAGCCTCCTCCCGTCTGTGTGTGTGTGTGTGTCCGCCCAGAAGAGCCTCCTCCCGTCTGTGTGTGTGTGTGTGTCCGCCCAGAAGAGCCTCCTCCCGTCTGTGTGTGTGTGTGTGTCCGCCCAGAAGAGCCTCCTCCCGTCTGTGTGTGTGTGTGTCCGCCCAGAAGAGCCTCCTCCCGTCTGTGTGTGTGTGTCCGCCCAGAAGAGCCTCCTCCCGTCTGTGTGTGTGTGTGTCCGCCCAGAAGAGCCTCCTCCCGGTGTGTGTGTCCGCCCAGAAAAGCCTCCTCCCGTGTGTGTGTCCGCCCAGAAGAGCCTCCTCCCGTCTGTGTGTGTGTGTCCGCCCAGAAGAGCCTCCTCCCGTGTGTGTGTGTGTGTGTGTCCGCCCAGAAGAGCCTCCTCCCGTCTGTGTGTGTGTGTGTCCGCCCAGAACAGCCTCCTCCCGTCTGTGTGTGTGTGTGTGTGTGTGTGTCTGTGTGTGTGTGTGTGTCCCCGCCCAGAAGAGCCTCCTCCCGTCTGTGTGTGTGTGTGTCCGCCCAGAAAGCCTCCTCCCGTCTGTGTGTGTGTGTCCGCCCAGAGAGCCCTCCTCCCGTCTTGTGTGTGTGTGTCCGCCCAGAAGAGCCTCCTCCCGTCTATGTGTGTGTGTGTGTGTGTCCGCCCAGAAGAGCCTCCTTCCGTCTGTGTGTGTGTGTCCGCCCAGAAGAGCCTCCTCCCGTCTGTGTGTGTGTGTGTGTCCCCGCCCAGAAGAGCCTCCTCCCGTCTGTGTGTGTGTGTGTCCGCCCAGAAGAGCCTCCTCCCGTGTGTGTGTGTGTGTGTGTGTGTGTGTGTGTGTGTGTGTGTGTGTGTGTGTGTGTGTGGTGTGTGTGGTGTAGTGTGTGTGTGGGTGTGTGTCCAGCCCAGAAGAGCCTCCTCCCGTCTGTGTGTGTGTGTGTCCGCCCAGAAGAGCCTCCTCCCGTCTATGTGTGTGTGTGTCCGCCCAGAAGAGCCTCCTCCCGTGTGTGTGTGTTGTGTGTGTGTGTGTGTGTGTGTGTGTGTGTGTGTGTGTGTGTGTGTGTGTGTGTGTGTGTCCGCCCAGAAGAGCCTCCTCCCGTCTGTGTGTGTGTGTGTGTGTGTCCGCCCAGAAGAGCCTCCTCCCGTCTGTGTGTGTGTGTGTGTGTGTGTGTCCGCCCAGAAGAGCCTCCTCCCGTCTATGTGTGTGTGTGTGTCCGCCCAGAAGAGCCTCCTTCCGTCTGTGTGTGTGTGTCCGCCCAGAAGAGCCTCCTCCCGTCTGTGTGTGTGTGTGTGTGTGTCCCCGCCCAGAAGAGCCTCCTCCCGTCTGCTCTGCGCTCCCATGGATTTCAGTTATGCTTTAAACAAAGAAACTCAAAGAGTAAAGAAACATACTTAGAACCACAACATTAATTACAGATTAAAAGCAGCTCTGAAGTTCTGATATCTTTCAGTTTGTGTGCGTAGACACAGAGAGACCGTTTCCCAGATCCAGAGGAAGACAAATGTGTAGACACTAGTGCTGGGGGGAAACGATTATTTTGAAAACGATTAATCGGGCGATTATTTGATCGATTAGTCGACTAATCGAACGATTATTTTTCTGTTGTTCAATTCATAAAAAACGTAATGTAAAAAAAACGTAATGTAAAAAAAAAAATGTTCACGATACTGTGTCTCAGGGGATCTTAATATTTAAGAACCTATTAATGTGTTATACCAGATTAACGGAAATAATCTCAGCTAACTGACGATACAAACCATGTTTACCAAAACAAAACACAAGTCTCATAAGAAGCATCTAAATGACCCCTGAGCGAAAAATGCTAACGGACATTGGCACAGAACTCAAGATAAAAGTACCCTTATTACTTATCGTAGCTGCACATACAAGATATCCGATTAAAGCTGAGACTCCACAGATTATGTAGGTACATAGTATCATCACTGAGTGATCCGGACTCGCGACAGGGGAAGCAAATACAGTCATCACAACACGTACCTTCACAGAGCTTCTAGGGAGATCGTCTCACCGCCGTAGCTGTCAATCTGATCAAAATACGTGTTCAATGGCATTCAAATGAGAAACAACGCGGCTGAATCGGTTAATCCATAGGTTTTTAACGTCTATGTATAAAAAAATGATTGAATTTATAATCCATAATTCCATTTTAAATCGGAGAGCAAATGCTAGCTGCTAATGGTTGCCACCACAGCTAGCTGCTGCTTCCGGTCAAGCAGCAGTCTCAGTGAGATATAAATATATAAATATCTTTGCGTTTTGGACTAACTTTAAAATATTCCCATGCTTTTGAAGACCTGGGGCGAGATGTTTTCGTTTGAGGGCTTCGTGCGCAATCCTGTGAGGAGGAGTTGGTAGCCGTTTCAGTCTCCATTGTGTTTGAAGTGCGATTGCGAACTGCTTGTTGCTTTGGGTGACCCACGTGTGTGTGGCGTCATACAGCCTATGGTGGCGACGCGTCGACGCGGAGATATGTCGTCGACGATATTTTGAAGACGTCGACGCGTCGCTACAGCACTAGTAGACACATAAACACATAATCAGCACATTCACACATTAAGACATAAATAAAGGCACAACAATCAATACATACAAAATAACAGTCACTTCAATATCTTTGAGAAATGTGTGTGTGTTTCTGAGTGTGTGTGTGTTTCTGAGTGTGTGTGTGTGTGTGTTTCTGAGTGTGTGTGTGTTTCTGAGTGTGTGTGTGTGTTTCTGAGTGTGTGTGTGTTTCTGAGTGTGTGTGTGTGTTTCTGAGTGTGTCTGAGTTTCTGAGAGTGTGTGTTTCTGAGTGTGTGTGTGTTTCTGAGTGTGTGAGTGAGTGTGTCTGAGTTTCTGAGTGTGTTAAAGTCCAGGTCCATTGGGGGGGGGGGGGGGTTCAGCCTCCTGACAGCCTGGTGGAAAAAGGTGTTCTTTAGTTGTGAGACAGGGCAAGAGCATGTTTTGAGTTGTGCAGGTAAATACAATATAAATAGTGCAAGAAGAGTCGATGAACAAGTAAATGGAATATAGATAGATGAATGTTCTTCACGGGGTTCAGGCGTTTAGCAGTCTTATGGCCTGTGGGATGAAACTGAGTCTGCTGTCAAGTAAATGAGGGGAGTGAGATAAAGTCTCCTGCTGGTTCCTCGGTCTCATCATGAGCTCATCAGCTGCAGAGGAGACATGTCGAGGAGAAGCTGAAGTCCTCCTCCAGCAGAGCAACATGAATACATAGGACAGATCAGACATGTGATTGACCGTCTCCGCGTGTTCCCTCAGCATCGACGAGGAGCTCCTGGGCGACGGCCACAGCTACAGCCCTAAAGCCGTCCACTCCTGGCTGACGAGGGTCATGTACAACCGGCGCAGCAAGATGAACCCTCTGTGGAACACCGTGGTGATCGGAGGCTTCTACAACGGGGAGAGGTGGGCTTTAACATACAGTCACACATGCATCAACACGCCCCTCCCTCAACATCGAACGTTCAGGGGAACCTCTCAGACTGAAATGAGTAAATACAATCCGATAACGTAAAGGATGTGAAACGATAATAACAAAATCAATATGAAAGAATAACTCGTTTCTATGTTTAGATAGTTATTAGTGATATTCATCAATTCCACTCATCAGTTTCCTCTTGATCGCTCTCAAGGAAGTGCACGAACGTGTGGCATCGTTCCTTGAATTGGGGAGAGGTGTGTTTTCTCTCATATCAAGTGTTGGTCTACAGATTTAAAGGTCTCTCTATACTGTTTTTAAGCAGGGTTTCCCACACAGACTTTATACCTATATTAACGTCCGCCAAAGTATATTTCACGACCCATCTAGGTTTATTTGATATGATCCGTCCCTGAGCACGACGCCATCTGCGATCGATGAACTAGTGGACAATGATCCCTCGCTCTACCCCGCCTGTACCTGTTCGCTTTATGCGCTCCGCAGTAACCCCGCTGCGACGCTCCGGCGAACAGTTCATGAGCGTGCTCCACTAGCCCCCCCCCCCCCCCATTCTCGGTTACCACCACAAGTATATTTCAGATCTGTGGGAAACCCTGTTAAGGAATATATTATAGGACTCGGATATATAAAAAAAACATGTTGCTCAGAATACCATAAACGGCTCATTCAGGAGAAACTCAGCTAAACGCTGCCGTGATTAAACGCCATATCATGTTCCAAACCACATCAAGAAGTGCATTTAGCGTGATGGGACACCTTTAAAGTCAAAACTGCTCCATCAGCATAACAACATTTAAACATCATTAATAAAAACATCTTGTGGTGCAGATCCTCTTATTGTCATTCTAAACTGTGTGTGTGTGTGTAGTTTCCTAGGGTACGTGGATAAACTGGGCGTGGCCTACCAGGCGCCTACAGTGGCCACCGGGTTCGGAGCGTACCTGGCTCAGGTGAGTCCTTCAGATCCTATTCTAATGGCGCATTTCCACTACAGCGCGGTTTAACCGTTTTTGGTTGCGTTTCCACTCGGCGTAGTTCCGGCTAGCGGGTACTTTTTCACAGTTTTCTGGCTCTCCAAAATGGAGGTTCTTTCCGGGCTGAGTTTGCTAAACTAGAGATAATCGCTGGCAAGGGGACTACAACAACATGAACACATTTTACAGTGACTTAATTGTAATACACGTTGTAGGAGCCATTGTATGGGTGTTGTTGTGTCTCAGTTTATGTAATTGATATGTATAGTGCAATATTATTTTTGAACACTTGGTGGCGGGGGTTAGCTGCACCGGGTGTATGAAAGGGGTCATAGGTGACAGGAGAGGACGAGGACACAGGAGGAAGAGCGCGGCAGATGCTCATACCACAACTATTGACACAGTATAACTAAACCTTGTGTAAAGCAATAAAACATCTAAACTGCAGCAAAAGACCGGAACTTCATCTGTCTGTGTCTGGATCACTCTAAACCCTCCTGTGAAGTAATGGCAAAGGATATAGGACATTGGAGCATTACAATTGCCATTACACACGTTTCTAAATGATGCCGAAGTAACAACATACTGATACCGGTTAGTAAAAACCATGAATTAATGCTTTGAGTCTGCAGACAGACGGCAGAGAAACACCTTTTAAAATGCGTGCTTTCTAAATGGAGCTTGGCTAAGCTAACGTTATATATGCTCCGACCGTCCACACTCACAACAACGGCCTACAGACATTAAATAAAGCAGCGACTGTATTCTCCATGACACAGGCAGTCTGTGGTTTGTACTTGTTTCACTTCTGTCTAGTTTCTGAACAGATATGAGGAGCTGTGAGCTCTGAGGGCTAAGAGCTAACGGCTGATGTTGGTTTTGTGTTTCGAATTGAAGATGACGTCACGGCTCCGCCTACACTGCGTTACCATAGTTACTGCCCCTATTCCTAAACTGTAATGGGAACGCAGCTTAAAGTGAGCCTGGCCTACCAAGGCCTAACTATACCGTACTAAGCCGAGCGAGGCCCTGCAGTGGAAATGCGCCATTACTGTAATCCAGAGGTTTAATGAACATTTAAAGGGAGAGTTTGGGTGTTTAATGTGTGTGTGTGTGTGTAGCCTCTGATGAGGGAGGTGGTGGAGAACAAGGCAGAGATCAGTAAGCAGGAGGCGAGGGAGCTGGTTGAACGCTGCCTCAAAGTTCTGTACTACAGAGACGCTCGCTCCTACAACCGGGTGAGTTACATTTTATTTTATTTTTAAAACTGTTCCATATTTTTCTCATCTCTAAAGTTTAACATGTGATGTTTTTTCTCTCAGCATGAGATTGCCATCGTGACGGAGGAAGGCGTGGAGATCATCGGGCCGCTGTCCTCAGAGACTAACTGGGACATCGCTCACATGGTCAGGTACGAGACAGAGAGAGAGGAACCTTTATTGATACGTCCACGGGTTGTAACAGGTTTGACCTTATTTTAACGAGTGTCCGAAACAAGTCTGACAAATAATAATCAAAAAAGGAACAGAAATAGTTAAGTCAAACCACACACAGTCATTCAATAATAATCAGGGTTCTTACGGTCATTAAAAACCTGGAAAAGTCATGGAAATTCAAAATGCTAATTCCAGGTCCTGGAAAAGTTTTGGAAAACAATATTTTTCCCAAAGTTTTGGAAAAGTCATGGAAATGTAACTAAAGTTGCATCAAATATAATTTATAGGGATACACGATTATTATCGGTCCGATATTAGGAATTATGACGTCAACCCGATAAACCCGATACCAGTATTAATAGCCCCGATAATATACAATATATTTTTTGGGTAAAACAAAAGAAAGAAATCCTGCGGTGTTGGGTGGATTGGGATGAGGGGCGCTTGTTTTTATTCGGCTCCTCCCGGTTTGCCAGTACTGTGGTATGAGTGGTTTAGGAAGAGGGGAGTTCTTCACAAATCCAGCGCTCCCTAACTCGTGAAGCCAGGACAGTAAACAAACATGTCGTCGGTGGTATGGGCGTTGGCGCTATGTGCAACTCAAGGCATATGCTCGAACCGGAGCTGCCTGGACGCTGCAATCATGTTGCGCACTAACCGTGCTGACTTTTCGTACAATGTCCCACTGTCTGGCTTCCTGCATAAAGTCAAGTGCTCGGCGCAGTTGTGGCGAAATGTCGCTCCTCTGTTTTCATTGAAACAGCTCCGTATATCCGTTAGCGCAGCTAGCTAGCACCAGATGCTAACAACAACAATGCACGTAAGGTCTCTCTCTCGCTCGGGCCACACATACACACACCCTCCCGGTCCTCCAGATGGCCAGTCGGTGCCTGCCGGTGAGCGTGGAAGTGTGGTCTGCCACAAGCGGGCGACAGGAGCGGGGCTGTCAGCATTAGCTTGTAGATGGTATTTTAATCTCAATGCGCTCTGAAACTACGGGGCGGCCGAGGAAAAAAAAATACACATGCGTTAATCGCGTTAAAATAATTAGTGGCGTAAAACATTTTTTGTTATCGGTCTTGAGAAGCAGGAAGTTATCGGTATCGGTTTCAAAAAACCAATATCGTGCATCCCTAATAATTTATATTTGATCTAATCGCCGAAATAGTAACACTATAATGATAATAAATACTGTATCGTATAGTAATGAAACGTAGAATGGCATTTAACTGTCGAGGTGTTTTGCTGATGAGAGATTTGAGTTGCTTTAGCGTGTAGAAGCTCGTAAGCCTATTTGATTTGTTTTAGATCGCACAACAAGTTTCAGATGCACTTCTTATTTTCCTGTTCCATTTTCAGTGGTACCGCTGAGAAAGAGTCATTTCTTTGGTCCTGGAAAATCATTGGTGAAAAAGTGAATGAAAATAACACACACAGATATATAGATATATACAGTTAAATCCAGTTGGGTAGAACACCAACATAAATCCATTCCAGTTCATAGAATCCAAAAGCACTCAAAGAAGGTCCGCTCCGGGTTTCACCACGGATTGCTTCTTTCATGTCTTTAGTAGTTGTTGGAATCCCGTCTGATGTTTTGAGATGATCTAAATATAATGCTGTGTTTCTGTTTCTCTGCAGCGGTTTTGAATGAAGACGAGTTGCATCAAGAACAACTTCTGCAACTTATCTTCCCCAGTTTAGTGTTTTCTCCTGTTCGTTGTAGCTTTTGTATAATGGAAAATAAATGTAATAAATCAAAAAATCTGTGTTTTTTATTTATATGTTAATGTGGACGAACCGTAAATCACACTATACTATTAATAACCTACAGAAACACCCTGTGGTTCAATGCTAGACTCCTGGCGCTAGACTCCTGACTCCTGGTGTTAGACGACTGGCGCTAGACTCCTGACTCTAGACTCCTGGCGTTAGACTCCTGGCGTTAGACTCCTGGCTCTAGACTCGTGGCGCTAGACTCCTGGCTGGCTTTAGACTCCTGGCTGGCTCTAGACTCCTGGCTGGCTCTAGACTCCTGGCTGGCTCTAGACTCCTGGTGTTAGACTCCTGGCACTAGACTCCTGGCTGGCGCTTGACTCCTGGCACTAGACTCCTGGCACTTGACTCCTGGCGCTAGACTCCTGGTGCTAGACTCCTGGCTCTAGACTCCTGGTGCTAGACTCCTGGCTCTAGACTCCTGGCTCTAGACTCCTGGTGCTAGACTCCTGGCTCTAGACTCCTGGCGCTAGTCTCCTGGCTCTAGACTCCTGGTGCTAGTCTCCTGGCTCTAGACTCCTGGCTCTAGACTCCTGACTCTAGACTCCTGGTGCTTGACTCCTGGCGCTTGACTCCTGGCGCTAGTCTCCTGGAGCTAGGATGGGTTAAATGCAAAGAACAAACGTCACTGTGTGCTGGGGGCTCTGCATGTGTGACCATTAAAGAGGGTTTCATCCCTCCTATTCTATCTAGTTAAAATCATCAAAGCGTTCTCTTGTTTTCCCGCAGAGCATATCCTAGATGCCCCTGATGGAGAGGATATTTAAATGTGATATATGAATACACTTCAGAGCTATATTACATTTAATTTAGCTTTTAAAGAGACTTATAAGTGCATTCAAATCACTATACATAGTTTATTTAAGAACACACACATATAGTTATTCTGTTTAGTCACTGGACAGTATATGTTATTAAACATACAGATGAGTTTAAACCTTATTTATAAAAATGTTCATCTGAAGTCATTTGCTCGCACAGCCTAAAAAGGCGGCTGTTGCTATGCAGATTCAGAGAGATAAAGTCATCTGTGTTGTAACTGGGCAGACCAGGTAATGGCTTCCAATCACAATAAACCATGTCAGAGAAATAATTCTGCTCGACGAATGAGATCCCACTCGCTTCTGGTATCCGGGTAGGTTAGAGACAGCCGACCAATGGGAATAGACGTTGGCTTTGTAGTCAGGCAGACATAACAAAGTCGTCCAATCACAAAAAAATCTGAAAGGGGATTTTTGCTGTATCTTGACTCAGGTACTTTCTTTTTCTTTTTAAAATAAATTCTGAAGGGGGACTCACCTAACGGATACTACGTTAGAAACAGAATAAATTCCCCGTTATCAGGCTTTATTTTGAATTTACAAACGGCGTGAGAAATCATGTTTAACGGGTGTTTCAGTGCCTGCTAGCTAATGCTATCTGATAGCAAGCAGCTAGGCTAGTTAGCCGGTTAGCAGCTAGGAACGCGACTAATATTTGCCAAAGATAAATCGGCGTTAAGATAATGTATTCTGGTTTGAAACGGTTGTTGAAAGTGTGTGTTCTTAATCCAGCTAACGTGTTGAAATGTCGCCGCGTCGGGAGGGTTGTCTGCTAGCCTGTTAGCGTAGCAGTAACATGTTGAGGGTGTGTGTGTGTGAGAGCCGTGTGTGTGTGAGTGTGAGAGAGCCGTGTGTGTGTTTGCACCTGGTGTTGAAGCCCATATGTTGAATGTCCGTAGTGGCCAAACGGTGGTACTACAGCTTCCGTGACGTCATTTTGGCCTACAAATACTCTTCCTCGTTGACTTACATTGGGAAAGAGACGTCTATAAATCAGCGGATAATTTGTTTTCAGCTAAATAAACTACCCTACACGAATTGTTTTATATTCCTTATTTAAATCATCGGGGTGTAAAAGTTGGAAAATGCGCTAAAATAGTTATTTCCCCTCTCCGTTCATCTGACTGACAGAGAGCGGGAGATCGTATAAGGGAAAGAAGGGAAACTCCACTGCGCATGCTCAGTGGGCCCACATTGAATCTAAAGTTGCTCTATTTTGGGCTTCATGCGTCAATGAGCATCTCTCATAGGAATGAACGGAGCCCCGCCTCTCTCTTAATACAGTGTGTGCGCGTGCGTGTGCGTGCGTGGCGATAGTAAAATGGCATCACATGACCACCGGCTCTCTGTAAACACTGCAGTGAGACATGACTTTGGGATTATTTACAACCTGAGATTCAAATGAAATGTGTACTTGTGGGCTATCTGTCGCCATTTTTATAGTATTTTTCAGACTCTCTAAATACGCACTTTTACGCACTATTTTAGAGAGGGTTAGGGTTAGTATATTGTTTTGAAATGGCGACTTAATAACACACATTTGTATTTGTGAAAGAGTTGGAAAAAAATTCAAAAGTGGCGACAGATAAAGTGTTTTGTCCTCAGATGGTGTACTTTAAAGAGTGTTTGTCCTCAGATGGTGTACTTTAAAGAGTGTTTTGTCCTCAGATGGTGTACTTTAAAGAGTGTTTGTCCTCAGATGGTGTACTTTAAAGAGTGTTTGTCCTCAGATAGTGTACTTTAAAGAGTGTTTTGTCCTCAGATGGTGTACTTTAAAGAGTGTTTGTCCTCAGATGGTGTACTTTAAAGAGTGTTTGTCCTCAGATGGTGTACTTTAAAGAGTGTTTGTCCTCAGATGGTGTACTTTAAAGAGTGTTTGTCCTCAGATGGTGTACTTTAAAGAGTGTTTGTCCTCAGATGGTGTACTTTAAAGAGTGTTTGTCCTCAGATGGTGTACTTTAAAGAGTGTTTGTCCTCAGATGGTGTACTTTAAAGAGTGTTTGTCCTCAGATGGTGTACTTTAAAGAGTGTTTTGTCCTCAGATGGTGTACTTTAAAGAGTGTTTGTCCTCAGATGGTGTACTTTAAAGAGTGTTGTCTCAGATGTGTACTTTAAAGAGTGTTTGTCCTCAGATGGTGTACTTTAAAGAGTGTTTGTTCCTCAGATGGTGTACTTTAAAGAGTGTTTTGTCCTCAGATGGTGTACTTTAAAGAGTGTTTTTGTCCTCAGATGGTGTACTTAAAGAGTGTTTGTCCTCAGATGGTGTACTTTAAAGAGTGTTTGTCCTCAGATGGTGTACTTTAAAGAGTGTTTGTCCTCAGATGGTGTACTTTAAAGAGTGTTTTGTCCTCAGATGGTGTACTTTAAAGAGTGTTTGTCCTCAGATGGTGTACTTTAAAGAGTGTTTGTCCTCAGATGGTGTACTTTAAAGAGTGTTTTGTCCTCAGATGGTGTACTTTAAAGAGTGTTTGTCCTCAGATGGTGTACTTTAAAGAGTGTTTGTCCTCAGATGGTGTTTCTCAGCGCTGGTTGAGGATGTCGGAGGACCAGCAGCAGGTCGAGGCCTCTCAGGGGGGGGGGGTGGGTGTGGAGAGCGACACAGAGCCCAGCATGCTGCTGCAGAAACTCAAGAGCAACATCTCGTAAGATATCACACCTCATTATCATCTGTATACAGTCCTGTTTGAATATCAACCAATCAGCAGAGGCCTGTCTCTAACCGCTGTGTGTTTCTGTGTTGCAGCAAAGATGTTCAGACCAAAGTGGATCAGATCCTGGTGAGTGTGTTCACCTCGTGTTTACATCTGAGGCCTGTACTCTGAATCCAGTCCAACAGACCCTGATATCTCTGAGTTATCTTAACTAACCCTAACAAAGAGATCTTGCTAAGCGGTCCTACGACGCTTGTTATCAACTCGGTAACTCATGCCAGGGTTTCTCTGTCCGGCTGAGTGCGCGAGTTGACTCGAGTGTTTCCTCAACTTAATGTGTTGCTTAAAATAATACTTCTGCATACAGTATGTGACACTGAGTGTTGCACGGCCAGATACGGCTCAGCTGACTCAGATAAGGAGATATATGATACATTATTAAGTGATATGCCGCGGACTGTACGTAATGTTCAATCAATTTTTTATAGCCCAATATCACAAATGTTACATTTGTGATATTGGGCTTCACAGTTTGTACAGAATATCAGTATGACAATACGACACCCTCTATCCTCAGACCCTCTGTCCTCAGACCCTCTGTCCTTAGACCCTCTGTCCTTAGACCCTCTGTCCTCAGACCCTCTGTCCTCAGACCCTCTGTCCTCAGACCCTCTGTCCTGAGACCCTCTGTCCTTAGACCCTCTGTCCTTAGACCCTCTGTCCTTAGACCCTCTGTCCTCAGACCCTCTGTCTTCAGACCCTCTGTCCTCAGACCCTCTGTCTTCAGACCCTCTGTCCTCAGACCCTCTGTCCTTAGACCCTCTGTCCTTAGACCCTATGTCCTGAGACCCTCTGTCCTTAGACCCTCTGTCCTCAGACCCTCTGTCCTCAGACCCTCTGTCCTCAGACCCTCTGTCCTCAGACCCTCTGTCCTTAGACCCTCTGTCCTTAGACCCTATGTCCTCAGACCCTCTGTCCTTAGACCCTCACATCGTACAAGGAAACACTTCCAGAGAAAACCCACAGTTTAAAGGGAACATGGGAGAAACCTCAGGGAGAGCAACAGAGGAGGGATCCCTCTCCCAGGACGGACAGACGTGCAATAGATGCCGTGTGTAAATCCAAGAGATAATACATTTGCAACATAGGTAGACCAAATGTTTGGAAATGCATGTGTGTATAATAGGAAGATGAATCCACGAGGATGTCAGCAATCCTGTGGGAGACATCAGGGAAGTAGTATGGTGAGAGTCAGGCAGGACCGCAGAGACAGGATCAGCTTCGACTCCGGATCCCGGGGTAGATATAGACACAAAAAAGAGATTTGGGGGAAGCTGGGTTAATCGGAACATGAGAGTACACAGGTACAGACAGCCAGAAAGACGGAGTAAGGTGCCCCCCCCCAACAGTCCAAGCCTATAGCAGCTAAACTAACGTGTACATGCACTCCCTTAGGATAGGTTGAGGGAAAAGGATAGCAAGTAAGAAGTAGGAAACAGAGGTTAGACCCTCCAGAA